TAATAAGAAATAATCTAAATGTTACAAAAAAAAAAAAAACATTAGAAACAAAATATACAAGAAAAATATATACATTGTTGCAAATATATGCATAGCAGGTGCTACAAGGCTATCCTACAAGAACTATTAGAAAAAAATGTAGAACTATTACATGATACAGCTTATTATTTAATACTGAGTTATTGAATTGCTATGATTTTTTTTAATCCATCTATCAGAAGTTAGCATACTGCAGTATCTATCTATTGTTATCGATTTGAAATATCATAATTCATGTTGAGTATAAAATTTAATCTTAAAACTGATTTGGACTGGTGCACTGAAAAAAATGCGAAATGAGAGAAAAAAAAAAACTTTATCTTTTCTGATTTCAATTTGAAACATTTATTTTTAAAAAAATGTACAAAGCTAAAAGCTTTCCAGGATCTCAGTATCGAATCTACTATCGGACCTAGCAAACATAAGTTTATTTCTATCTTTTCATTACTATTAATTATCTTCCTAGTATTTTCGCTTTATAGGAATATCGAGCTAGAATTTGAATCAACTAAGTATAGATGATAAATCAATTCGATAAACAGCAATTTTGAAGTAAACTGTAGATATACAAAAAAGAACTTCATTTTCATTCCGGCCTGCTACAGCAGTTATACGATCTGCATCCGGCAAAACTGTTGCTTTTGCTATAAGATATGCATGACAAGTCTGCAATATATACAATTAGTAGACTTATTAAAAAAAAAAAAGATCATATTACTCTTTCAAAATACGAGAGAAGGAAAAATAGAGAGAAAGAAGGGATAATACAGATGGAAAGAAAAAAAGCAAAAGTGTAGAAAAAACTAGATTTCTTAGCACTAAATTCTGGAAATAATACAAAGTAATTATATTAATATGATCTCTTTGAAGTAAAACAAAGAATAAACATCTTTATCTAAGAACTTACGTTATGGTCATTCCATCCATAGATGAGTAAGTTACCGAAAATATCCAGTGTCATCACAACATGAATATTCTGCAGATTGACAGTAGTTGCACAAATAAAATCGCCTGCTGGATTTTCTAATGCTATCTCGGTGTCATTTTCTGCAAAAGTAAAGAATATCTCACATGCAGGATACATGCAGTTACTACTAAATGATAATTTAGAAGAGTTTAGCTTTCATAGCAGATTAACTGTCATTGTTAGACATGTCAAACTAGTTTGAATAATTAAAAATTATTGATTTTTCAACAAATTTAATTCTAAAGTGCACTGCAGTATTTTTACTGTTTTATGTTCAAATAAATAAGTATAAAATAACCTGGATTAATCACAAGCAGTCGAGCAGCAAGTGATCCAACTAAACTCAGATATACCGGCTGATTGGGTACCATCAACTCTCGATTCGAAGGATTCGAAGCTAACGTTTGTGGCAAAATATTACAACTATTTGAACTAAAATCAATTTTCACCACATAATTTTCATTCCGTTCTGCCAGAAGTGCATAATATAAACCAGAATTCGTGATACCAAGTGCGAAACCATAAACATGCGATGGTACTTCATATTTATTCAATGATGCCAGATGATTCGCAACATATCGATAAGTTCTTACTAAAATTCATATTTAAATAAAAGATCATAGCCTAAGCTTCAATTTCATCAAAATTTGTTGGTATTCCATTTCAGTATTTTGAATATTACTGAAACACAACCATTTATAACACACATAATCGATATGGATTGACTTTTTTTAAGGTTAGAAAAAAATCATATTTTAAGTAAGCTAAAATTGAAAAAACGTTTTGGATAACCAAAATGAAGCAAATCTAATATTAACAACAAAAATAACTAACCGCATCGATCAGTCATCAAAACCAGCAACTCTGATAAACCATCACCATCAATGTCACCAATATATGATGTGCATATATTAGCTTGAATGAGTTGTTCAAAAAGTGGTAAAGGCTTCTGTAAATCTCCGCTCTGCGCATCTGTTTGTGGAAAATCGAAAGAACGTATCTGACCACCTGCTGATATGGCAACTATTTCATCGCTAAAAAGATATCCAATACACAAATGCAGAATAAAAATGTCTTAAAGAAAAAGACAAAATATCAAACTTAAAGAAAATTATCACATTTATTTCAAGTTATTCAAGGTACTAAAAATTAGTGATCTTAATGTTTATCGATTTAATGTAACTATGAATAAGAGCTTACAGTTGCATGATTGGTTAAAATTAAAATTCTGATCTTACTGAAGCAAACAAAACTATACTAAACAAACTATATGAACTCTTTCATAAACCGACCTGCTTTGTCTTAGTTTTCCAAAACAAATTGTTGTCAAAGAACTTTTAAAGATATTTTCTAGCTGTGTATATTGCTTTCTGGTTGTAAAGAATAGTAACTGCAAGAAATCAATTAAGATCGGTAGCTAGAAATACGAATTAATGAATGATTCATTTTTATAACACGGAAAAAAACGGAGTAAAGGAAAATGATGATAGATCCGGAATAAAATAGACAATCGAAAAAAAAAACCTTACACTAATATAATCAAACTTTAAAAATCGTCATCAATCTTCCAGGAAATTATTTTAAAATACAAATTCTTACACTGTCGCAGGAAAATGTTCCGGTAGAAAAGATCAATGAACAGGAACTCAAACGATATGTTTCAGGAAGCTTTTCTTCATATTTCAAAGAAAGTTTCGTTCAGTTCATTGTTCTACTTACAACTGACAAAATAATTCTAGAACTGTTACTAATATACTAAGTTTTCACTACTTCCATAGAAAAACATACAAATTCCTTACAATCTTTAGCTGAAAAACAAATGCTCCAACCACTATATCAGTGGTACCACAGTCCACACCAGAAAAAACCAGAAAACACTAACGTCACCATTGCATTTGCCGATAACGATGAAAAGCTGTTGTTGATTTCGTGACCATACCATTAATACACTAGAAGAAGGTGTATTAAGATGGGTAGCAAATAGAACTGCGGCATTAACATTTGCGCCAGATCTTGAGATTTTCAACTCCGAACAAATCATCTTTGGGACATCCTAGAAAACAACAGATCATGTTGAACATTGAAAAATATTCAACAGGATGAAATTACTAGATAAATAGACTCTTCAATATTTTCTAAGTCAATGAAAAAACAAACTGTTAGCATTGCTCATCGTGTTAGACTTTGTCAAAATAGGTTTTTTTTTCTTTTTTTTCACTAACAAAGTAATGAGCATATAAAGCTTATTTCAATCATAAACTCAAATTTTTTCTAAATCTAAAAATCACATCGTCATTCCTTGCAAAAACTCATAATCATAGATTAAATTAAACTAAAACTACCTATTCTTTCGCTGTAAACAATCTATTTTAATGCTTTTAAAAATATTAAAAGGAGAAATAAAAAATTCCAACGAAATATGGAACCTTAATTTTTGAGACAAGTAATTAAGTCTACGATAAGAACTGATTCTAGGAAATAAGGAATGAACGCTAGTTGCTCTGAAAAATACAGTAATTTGCACAAATTAGAAATTCAAAAATATAATTTATTACTATATTCAGCACTTTAAATAAATTATTAATTACAATGCGAAATATCAGAATAAGTGAAGTGAAGAAGAAAACAATTTATGCTAGTGAAAGTCAAGCAAAATGTTTCTAAGAAAATAACAAATTTACAGCCATCAATATTACTTCCTTTTCTCAATTAGCTAAAGTTTAGTATGCTAAACATTCCAAATAAACTAGGAAGAAAAAAGGAAGAAATGCCTTTGACAAACATTTATTCAATTTTATCATGTATTTGAAGGCATTCATGTCATTTCTATTAATGAAAGCTTTAGAAAAGACCTCTTTTTGAAGGTTTACCCCTCTGGTGAAATTCAACAAATGATTGTTATCAGCAAAAAAAAAAAAAAAAAATTATTTAAAAAAATAACAAACTAGATATTAAATAGAAATATATAATGTCAGCCAGAAATAAAAGGAATGCATTGATGATAAAGGGAAGCAAAATAGAGCAGAGCATTATCAGGAACTGTTTTTTGATCAAAAACAACATCCGATAGCATATGAATTAAAGATTAATGTTCACTACATACATTAAACACGAAAGGAAGGATTGAAAAACAGATGAAATAAAATAGAATTATTAATCTCAAATAATTAAAACTCAAATTTATTAATCACGATAGAATTCAATTCCATTTTCCCTTCAATTTTAAGTAATGTTAAATAATATATAATGTGCAAAAAAAAAAAAAAAAAAAGAAAAAACCAAACAATAAAACATCAAATGATATGTTGTTTCTTGATCCTTTAAGGAACTTATTTAAAAAAAAAAAAAATTCATTAAGAATATAGCAAATACATCGCACATAACTGCATCACAATATCTGCATCAGTTGCTCCCATAGAACCTTTCAATCAACAAAGATACGGGAGGTAAGAATAAAAGCTACACATCTAATTATAATTCAATCATTGGGATGCAGTATGTCAGACATTTTGTTTTCTTCATACTGGAATTAGACAAGAATTTTCACTAAATTATAAAATAAGAGAAAAATTTTCTGCTTCCGATAAAATCAGAAAAACAGAGTTTCCTTTCTAGGAAAGAAAAATTAGATAAAAAAAAAGGTAGAGAAAAGGAAGTCATAAATTTTGAATAGAACTAACAGAAAAAAAGTGCAGATGGACTCATAAGGTGATTTATATCTTAACGATTCATTGGAAATTTCTGTCTTCATCAATTCAGAGCTAAAAAATTTGAAGGAGAAAACCAATATAATGATCAACTCAAATTACTGCCATGAGTAAATAGCAGAATCTAAGAATAGCATGCATCGATATTATGTTCGATATTAGAAGCAAGTCACATAAATACAATGTAACTCAAAAAACAATTCAAATAAATATAATTTAACAAATAAAAACTTTAAATTACATAGAACTTAAATCGAACGTTCATCAAATTATCGAAATTTTGTCCCTCAGAGTATAGACCTTCGTTTTCCATTACCGTAATTTACAATAACTGAAGCTTTAGCCATTTTTGAACCATAATGTCCAGCCCAAAATTGCTGATCTTTTCCACTGTGCCGAAATAATACGTAACGAATGCCTTTAGGATAATTCGAAAATGTATGTTCAATCTTTTGCCACTCAATTTCTAAGACTGAAAAAAAAAAAATGCTGTAATAATTAGAGGAAAATAACGATGAATTTATATTCAGTAAACAAAATACATGTAATTACGAAACATTAACAGAGTTCAAATACAAATAACAATATTAGAACGTCTGCATGCATTTATTCAAAATAATAATAATGGTTAATATATCTTATTACATATTATATAGTATATTATATAGGAAATATATTAATAAATTGCTTTGTCCTGTTTTTTTTTTTTTTTTTCTTTTAAGTAAAGTAAAAAAAAAATGACACTTAAGTGAAAATTTACCGTCCAACATGCGAATTCGAGTTATTGAAGTATCGGTTGTTTCATCATCTTGTGGCAGACCATGTTGTAATCTATCATGTTGTTGAGGAAGACGAGGATGCCGAGTATAAAAAAGAAATCCTGGCGTTATTCTATGTGGCAGAGGTATAGATCCATCAGGAAGCAATTGTACTTCCAATAAATAAATCGATGCGCAATCGAAACGACCTGTATGATACTCCGAAACGGTGATTGGTGGACAAAATTCATCCAAAAAAGCACGCTAAATGAAATTTTTATTAGGATATGCTAGGAAAAATTGTTTTTGCTGCATTTATTGAAATTGAAATCCATAATTTTGATCATTAGTGAATGAATTAATATAACAGTAAAACATAAAATAGAATAAAAATAGAATAGAATAGTAAAACAACCTTTTTTATAATTTATTTTACCTCAATGAGCTAAGGAAAAAACCGTTTTAACTGGCACCAAATATCCCAATAAATAATCGGAATTAACTTAAAAAAGAAATACAGGAAAATGGTATAGGAAAATACCTCAATTCCTTCCTTCCACAAATCAATGATTTGAAATTTACTACACCAATCATAGCTTGTCACAAATGCAACCGGTATTTCTTCCAGTGCTATACAGCCTACTGGTGGTTTCTCGATTCCGAATCTAAATTATGATTTCAAATAAGTAAAATCCAATCAAAAAGCAATAATTCACACTTTACTGTGTCCAAATCGAGAAAAATACCACATGGTTTGCTTACTCCATTCGTATGCTAGTTCTAAGCCACTTTTCCCTCAGCTCTCCTGCTTCATCTGAATCACCTCCATATAATGTTAGAGGATTGAGGTCAGATATAAATATCTGCGAACGATATGGATCTGTTTCTTTTCCATCGAAAACATTCAAAACAATGAATAGAGACTTCACTCATCACCGCCATCTTCATATATCTCCCAGTTTTGATAACCATCGTCACCACTAGGATTGCTGATCAAATTGCGCCCGAAAGCTTGTTGAAGAGAAACTTTTTTGACATTGAGTGAAGGCTCATTTCGTAAGAAGCTGGGAGGCAAATCCATTGATCGGTATATCATATAACTGATCCAGAAACCCGGAGCAGATAAAACATTGTACCATCGACGACAAACCTGCAATAGCTCTAAGAAAAAAATAAAGTGAAAAAAAAAAATAAATTGAATTCAAAATCAGCAATATATGAAGATGAAAGTATAATTCCAAATACCACCACAAATAAACTACATTCAAATTTACTCAATCAAACAGTTGTATTTTCCGAATTTCCAATATGTTTGAATAGATTTTTTTAATGGTTTTTATAAGTTTTATTTTTTGCATAAATTTTTTTTTTTTTTACATTTTTAATTTTTTTCTTGCACCAACAATTTACATAAACAGATTAACCACCACCAGAATTGATGAAATAACGAATTAGAAGCACAATAACCTACCAAAGGACATATATAACCAACATCACGACGACCATCAACTCTGACTAAAATTTCTGCGAGAATTTGAGGAGGAATTGGTACACCGTGCAGATAAATGTCGCTTTTACCTTCTGAAACAGACAATCTTACTGTGTACAAGATGAAAAAATACCCAGAAAAGTTGAAGCTACCATACAACCTTCTCAGGAATCACCTTGTCCTCTTATCGTAAAAATATAGAAAGGCCTAGCTTGAAATATCAATAACGAAGAGACACACCTTCATCGATTTCTTCGTTTTCACTTCGAGATGACCAGGTAACTGTCTCCATCACTACCAACAACTATAAATCAGAGAACAGAATATTCAAAAGGTAAATATTCCCAGATCAACAACGTCCGTTTTGGATCTGCTTTTTGAATAAAAATTGAAATCTGAAACAGTCTGTCCGCACTCTGAGTAACTCTTTGGAAGATGACTCACCGGTCCACGAATACTATCTCTTTTAAAATACAAAATAAAACATAAATGGTTGCAAAAACAAAAAACATATCCTTGCAATCAATAAATTTCAAAATCTGTTCTTTGATCTTGCTATGAAAACACAAAACTTCCACTAAAATTTAAGAAAAAACTCAATCACCCGATGACACAAGTTAGGAATTCAACATTGGATTATAAACAAAATTTTTGAAAATAGTATAAAGCAAATAAGTCCAAAGAATGAATAAAACAAAAGCGAGGTCCACTTGTAAAGAATATTACGCTGAGTTCAACTTTATATAACGTTCAAGCACTCTGAAATGGTACAAGATGCATTTGTCATGTCTTTGGAGTGAAATTTAAATATACCATTTATTGTGAAGAAACTGAATGGAAAAAACCGGAATGTTAACAATATTTTTATGAAACAAAATAACCAAACATTTTAATACACCTATAAACAAATATTACCAGGGATAATGAAATGAGCAAAGCACGATTGACAAAATTAATGAAGCTTTAAATTGCAATTGAAGAAACAATTAGACAGTGCTGAAATATTCATGATTAGTTTCCGTTACGGAAAGAAAAGATGTCCAAATATATACACTGTAATGCAAATGCAAACAGCCTAAATATTTAATAAATAAAGAATATAGAATTACGGTACATATCATAACAGTCTCCCTATCTCCTCGTTTAACTTCAAACCTTTGCATGTATGAGTCACTTAAATTAAGTATATACAAAAATACATCAAAAATAGTCAAAAAAGTGAACGAAAAGACAGAGAATTATTAGACACATTAACCATAGCATTAATAAATAAGTTACACTGGTACTATCTTTGAAGAGAAAATCATGAAGAGCTAAATGATATGATGCAGAGTCAAAAGAAAAGCGATACTTCGACAATTAAGCACTGTTACAACCAGATAAGAAATGAGTGAATATTTCTGCATACTTGGAAATTCTACATCACAATATTATAAATATCAAAATCTGGAAATTACATAACTAACAGAAACAAAAAAGGAAAAGATCAGAAACTTGAATGTGAAATAATCATCCAACTAACAATGAAATAAAATAAAAAAATAGGATAAAGTGCCAGCATTTTTCGTCTCGGTGGTTGTGAACTGGATATGAATACCATAGATGCTGGAAAAAGAACTGTAAATTTCTATATTTAACATCTATTATGACCATTCATTACTTGAAAAAAAAAAACAGAAATTCTTTCTTGAGCTTCATGATTTTTTTTTTTAAATAATATATCGTTTGTTTGTTGAATGTTTGTAGTCAAGTCAAAAAATAGATTCCAATAAACCTACCATATATTGCCCATATAAATCCAGCCGTCGTAACTAGAAGACGTAAAGCGAAGAGAAACACTGTCTGTTCGGAGTTTATTTCAATAAATTTGCATATTATTGCTGCTAAACCAGGAGGCAATAAACAATAACCAAGCACACACAACGATTGAAAAAATGATCTGAAATGATCAACAACTTATATCTCAGCAAAAAGAAGCATTTAAACATTCTATGCGTCTAAAATAATAAGGCAATTTAATCATATATAAACGTTTTGACGACTTCGCTTAGTTCCCGGTTGTAAAGTACAATAATTTAACCGTTAAAATTACCGGTACAGCATAGAGAATGATTAATACTATCTTAAACGGTCTATCTTTGCATATGAAGATACGACTTCACTAATTTGATCTTTTTAAAAAAAAATCATTTACTTAATAACAAAAATTTTCTATTCTTTTACAATTGAAAGTAATAACAAGCAATTACATGTTACCACCAAGCAACTTTGTGTTCAAAGTGACAACGCACGAGCCAAAGAAAGTCAACGTGAAAACTTCGGTGAAATGAGGACCTTTGCCACTTTTACCTCCTTGCAATAATCTTAAAAACAGTAAGTCAGACACACATAATCACTGGAAATACTTCTTTTTTTTCATTTTCTATTTAAAAGGAGTAAACAAAGAATTCATGTAAATGGTAGGACTAACGAATAGAGATTCTGACATGAAATAATAAAACACAACTATTCCAGTTATTTAGCAAATCTGATGTCAGTTAAATCTACCAAAACAATTAAATTTTTAGCCAGTATAACAGCAAAATAACTTACAATGAGATAAAAACACATATAAAGAGCGGTCCCCAAAGATCCCAATCACGCAGTAACTGTTGACTGCTTCTTGGTGTCATAACCTGCCCAAATTTTGCAACAACAGTATGCAAATCTCGTCTCTAAAAAATGAGTATTCATTAGTGCAGCCAATAATCATTTAATGCAGATTATTAATAATTAAAACAGCTAATTAAGTTTCAGATTCTAGCACACATTGTGACGAACAATAAATAGAAAAGAGGCCAGTAAAGGAAATGCGATAGAACTAACGTATAGGGACTGACCTTTAAATGGAAAATTCGGAACTTATTAACAATACCCCATTAGTGATTAAATAATACAAAAGAAAAACTAACAATAGTATCCCAGACCGGTTCATCCAAAGTATCAAAATCGCTATTCAAATCGGGTTCATTAATGGAACGTCGTGGTTTTGAAGAAGTTACTCCAGCAATTTCTCCACTCAAATCAATATATTGCTGATCACGTCTTTCCTGTTCCTTTGCTGAGATTTCTTTTTCCAACTAAATAATTTACTACTTAGATTATGCAATGTTTGCCGTTACAATCACATTTATTCTAACAAAAGTGCAAATTGAAGGAATAATTTGATAGAACTTTAAAATACATTGTGTAATTAGTTACATTTCGAATTCGAGCAAAAAATTGAAGAGATTTAACTAAATTTTTTCTACAGCTCATAAAGTAAAGAACACAAATAGAAACACTAACCAATTCAATATCAATTGCAGCATTTCCAAAATTATGAGCCATTGATAAATTCTGTTCAAGTTCTGCAGCAACTTCTCGAAAAAGATATAATCATGAGGTAAACATGGTATATTATATCTTCTTTCTTCTTGAAGATATATCTAGACATTACATAATAATATTATGATCCCCGGTCAAAATTTAATACATCCAAACAATCCGATAAACTCACCGGTTAAAGGACTAGAATACACACTTTGGCTAGCAGACAAATCGATTAAAGTATCTTCAGTATCTGGTACTATCGTAGTTCCACGATTAACGATTGGAACTGATAATAGATGAGCAGATGACAGTGAATTAGACATACGACATTTATTCCTTCAACACCTCAAGTCCCTCCTAAAGCTATAGCAAGATCTTTGTTAAAAAAAAAAAAAGAAAATGATCCCTAAGAAATGTTTACTTGAAACCCGAAAGTAAGTATCGGTAAACACAGCAGTCAAATTATTAGAATGTCACACTACTGCAATGACCAGTTTAATATTCAGAATTGCATGTCTTATCTGATATTGAATTCACTTGGGAACTTATCTGATGGACAACAACCCAATCACACTGTTTCTGGTTTAGAACTATCATGCATTGCCACCAAAAACATAAATTTTAAGGACATTTCAAACAATACTTTACAGATCGTTGGATTTTATTAAATTGTTAATCCATAAAAGAAAAGGTGAATGATTTGGTGCAAAAGCAAAAAAAAGACATTACCTTATAAAATTACCTGTCACAGCAGAAGATAATTTTCTGATAAAACAATCTTGAGTTACTAGAAATGTAAATATACACTGGGATATTTATTCAAAAAAACAAACAACATAATCTGTACAATGATAAAAACAATAAATTAAAAATACCTTATTTAAGCCTTCTTTCTGGAATTACAATCAAAAACAAAGACTCGAAATGACTTTATAATCGCATTTAAATTGCTTCATAAATGTTTGGTAGGTTTACCTAACTTAGAAAAAAGGATTGCACTACTTTCATCTTTGAGATAGGAAAGAGTGAGAATGTTCCGAATGTTTTTCGCGTCATTCTGTCTTAGGGCCGTAACATCGGAGTTTGAACTTTCACAAATGCAGCAGAAGGCGAAAAATAAGTTGTAGAAGAAGAACCAATATGATCAGGTTTCACTGTTGGATTTACAATCTCTAATCCTAATACAGGAGTGAAAGTTACACTTGAAGCAGTGCCTGCTGCTCGTGATCGAACTGACGTTACACCACCCATTGATCGCTGTCGTTCCATTGTTTTTTGAAGCTTTTGCGACATTCTAAAACAATTTTTATATTTGAGACACATAAATGAAATACCAGAAGATAAAATACAGGAAATTCTACATTAAATAGGTAATCTATAGCTCCACAAAATATTTTTGCAGTACTTGGTAAATTTACGACTCGGAACTCATACAATTAATGAAACAAGAATGTAGTATCACTGTACCTGGCTCTTGTTTTTGGATCAACTGTTGCACTCCTGATGCGGCTTCCAGAAGATGGACCACTCAACGCCTGTCCAAGCGAGAATCCCATATTTTCTTGAATAACATCTTCCGCTAACTCACCAAAATTCATTCGATTCGACTTTTTCCTTAATTCAGTCATGCCCAGTCGTTCCTTCATTTTTCTTACTCGACGGCCTCCTCGTTTTTTACTAGCCTTGAAAGAAAGCTTATGTAGGACTAAACTAATTTTAGAATAAGCAAAGATTAAAAAATAAAGACTCATTCAATCCGAAATATCTTTTTTATATCTTATTAGTAACATATCTCCATGTAAAAGATGAAGAGCATGCATTTTCCAGATCAACGTTAAATAAATGTGCATGGTTTCATTAAGAGATCTCCCATTATTTATTTTGAAGTTTCTACGTAGCTCTCTTTCAATATTAGCAAAGAGGTGTCAAGTATAAAGTTTTACTGCAAGGAAATTAAAATAGTAAATAAAGTAAATGAATTTTGTGATTTTAAAATCCTGAAGTTACTCATAAAAACATACGAACAAGCATAACAAATATTAATATTAACCTTATCTAAAGGTTTTGGCAAAGGTTTTGCAGCTTTTACAGGTGGAGGTTCTAACATTTTCTCTATTTTTTGCTTTATTTGTTCAAATAAACTTTTTCCGATCAAACCATCTGATGCCTCATGAATAAAATCAACACGAGCAGCAAGCGTGGTTTTCGCAGCCAGTAATCGAGCAGCTTTCTGCCTAAAAATATGTGGTAGTACAAAAAAAAATCATAACAGAAAAGCATCTAACAGAAAACCTAGTGCTTCTGATGTAATTTTTCTATTTTATGTTAATAGACAAAGAAATTACATAAACAAAATGCTCGAAAGGATGTTACCTCAAATCTGGTGGAACACCTTGGACAATAGGATGAAAGAAAAGGAAACCGGCATGTGGTAATACAGCTGTTGAACTAAAACCAGTCAGCGTTTTTTTTTGTGCACCAAGAATCAGTACATTGCAGGCGGGAAGGCGAGCCAATGGTGCAAGACCTAAAAAATGCTCTTATGCAGAAGAGAAACAGAAATTCAAATAGGCCAGAGATACCAGTCTGATACTTTTTTTAAATACTTTTTTGTTTTAGTTACTTCTTTCCGCTCCAGTTGGCTGCAGTGCATATTAGGAACAATAAAAAACCACAAAAAATCATTACCTCAAACTAAATCCTTTTATGGAACTCTAAAGAAACAACTAATATAGATATTACCTCCAGCTTTGGCAACTATCATTGCTGCCGTACCAGCTCCCAAGATTTCGCACAAATTCGGTGCAATAAGTGCCATTCTTGACTCAACCAACTGGTACATATTAAGTCGATCGGTATGCAACTGCTCAGCCATATCGCAAGCTTCTTGTACTGCCACCAATTCATCTGGTTCTAGCGCTTTCCCTTGTGTAGTTGACGCTGTCACACTAACCACAATGCACGTAGCGGGTGCTAGGATTTCACTGAAAATTAAAGTCAATATCGAAACCTTAAATCAATACCGAAATCTCATAGCTTTGGAAACTTCTCGCTGAAAAATAACCAACCTCAAAATCTGCTTATTTTGTCCTTTCGTCGAAATATCATTCCCGAGAAGTTTCACAGTCGCCAAATACTCTAAAGCATTTGGTACTAGAGATTCCAACTCAGGAAAACGTTTTTCATATTTGTCACGAACAAACTTATGAATTACGTTTAATTCCTGATCCACTTCAGCTGCAAGCTGCAAAAATGATTTAGTCAGAATTTGAAGTACTTCATATGCAAAATTTTATAAACAGAAATATTATAGATGCAGAGACGAGCTGAAAATGCACTATATGGTCACTATATATGAGTAACTCAGGAGATTTACTAGCAATATTAGAAAGCCAGATGGAGAATACTTTGCAACTGCATTATCCTGACAGCAAAAATTTAATGAAAAATCGACATAAATAAAACTCAAATAAAAGAAGCTGTTGCTTACTCCAGAAAGCTCCACAATCAATTTATACTGAGGATCCGCTTCCAATGGCTTTGTGACTGGTGGAATTTCTTTTAAATTTAGTTGCTCCTGCATCTTGTCGATAAGATCCTTATAACTACAAATAATCAAGGATGAAAAAAATAGGAATACAGTTTTTTACACAATTAACAAAAGCAGTCACGAACTATAAATGAAACCAAAACCAAGAATCCCTCAATCTTTATACATCTAATATTAAATGTTTAATATTAAATGAGAATCTCAAGTAATTCTAATGCCACACTTTTGATTCGTCAATAATTTTGCTACGGATCCAACTCGATCATATGCACTCATAGATGGCAATTGTTCATCTACTTCTTCCAAGCCTTCCCCTGCATCTTGTTCCGTCTCCTCCACCACTTCTTCATCCTCTAAATCTGCCAAAAGCTCATCAGCGAGTGACATTCTTACGAAAAATTAATCGCGTCGACTGGAAAAAAGTGAGGAATACCTGTAAAATTTTACAGAATTAAATTACGTTCCGATATAAATTCAATTTTCATTTTCGATACAAACTACTTTTCGGTGTACGATAAAAAAGAACAGTAGTCAGAACAAAAGTCTGACTGCAAATTCAAATAGCCAAATATATGTTCCAGGAAAATAAAAAGCTTCTTTTTGTATTGAAATTAAACAAAAATAAACCAAATAATGAATTCCTAAAAATTAAATCTGACTTTTCACCCCGGAACTCTCTGTTTCCATGCAAGCTTGCATGAAAGAACTCTCTATACGTCTCTTAAATTCTCTGAAATTTTTTTGCCATAAGCAAGTTTCAATAATTAGCAGTAACTGATGAGAAGCATCCTGAAATGTTCCTAAAATATAAAACTAATTTTACAATTCCATTAAACTAATTTCTTTTACTGCGAAACTTTCAAAAGTTTCTACACCAGCAAACATCAGACCACACTTGGCAAACTCCTTGAGTGCACTACTGTAGCATAATCACCCCAAACCAACCGGTTAAAACATGGTTTGCCGAAATCTATTAGGTACCGGTACACTACATTCTGGTCCAATCCAGTTTCTCAAGTGAGATTTAGCCGTACTTTTATTTTCAATTACAAAATTTGTTAATACTAAATGAAGTTATTGTTTTTCTTTTTCTCCTTTATTTTTGTTCAAACTTCAATTAAAACTTAAAGTATGGCATCAAATAGAAAAAAAGGTATTAGTGAATTATTACCCTACATAAGTTACCGATCACTCTTTTAGATACTTTAAAAATATGCTTTAAAATATTTGAGGAAAAAAAAAGAATATGAATTCTGGTAGTGTAGAAGATCTTTGAAAATGCCATTTTAATCTTTACTGAATGCAATTTCAGAAAACAACAAAGACCACAGGGAAATGAAACAAATCTTCGACATATCGTTAATAAATGGTAAGGCAAATAGAGTGATATTTGATAATCAAAAATAATCATTGTGCATTATCCTTGTAACAATCAAATAATTCATACCCAATGAAATTGGAGTTTCATGGAATAAAAAGAACTCGGGAAAGATTAAAAGACAAGGGATTATAATATCTAAATTGTTTAGCATTCATGCATTATCCTACAATCTGTGGAATTTTTGCATTTCAATATTTAACAATAGAAAAAGACAGAAAATAGAAGGCTAAAAATGATAATAAAATGAAAAAAAAATGAGATGTACTTTATGCAAGGAATTTTCAACATATAATCCTAAAAATTAGAAAGAAGTGTGAAGGAAGCAATTGAGAAATAAAGTTCAGTGAACAAATCGCAATGTCATCACAGCATCATAAACGAAGAAATAAATTACAGTGAGTATCATTTATTTAACATAAAATTTGAAATCCGGCTTCCGTACTCATAAACTCCACACGATCGAACGGCAGATAAGTAATCCCTTTTCAAAATTATTATAAAACTTCTAGAAACAGAAACATATCAAAGGTAAGTCATATCATTAGCTAGTATGCCGTTAATCCATTAGCTTAAGTTCAAAAATGAAGCTTAGATTTTCTTAATGATGGATGATGACGCGAGAAATCAACTTTCAATATGAATTTTTTTCTTTACTAAAATATTTTACTAAGGTTACCACTCGACAATGTAATTAAATTGTGTCACCATCATCAGATTAAAATATGTCGTGGAGATAGAGAGAGAAATGTAGCCGGTTCAATAATACTAAACGACACCTAAGCAAAAGAATGTAAAACCCTGACTGTAATATCAACGAGCTTTGAACTGTGCACTAAACAATAATTGTTGGTATAACTTCATAATAAGGCCTTCTCTAATGATAATAAAAGAAATTCCCAAAAGTTTTTCATTAAAGCAATTTCATCCAAAATTTTGAAAATTTAAATGACTAAATAAACAAACCACACTTCTAAGCATTTCTAGGAAAATTGCTATTCTAAAATAACCCTCAATCAACGGACTCAGTCAGACGTAATAATTGGGTGAAACGAACAGATCTGTCAGAATGGAAAGTTGATCTTCACTGAACTGCATCTTATGTTCATGCCAATTATCTTGATGAGTACGCTTGAATTCACTCAACGCTTTCTTCACTGTATCCTAAAAATATTCTTTCCTTAACCGTTAAGATGGTTATCACGTGGAATAGATGATCTTTTTTACACTATCAATGGTTATCACGTGAAATATACTTTTTTTTACGCTATCACTATGACTAAGAATGTTCAGAATAACTGAAGGTAGATTATTTCAAGTCAGCTACAAGTCAACCAATTTAATTATTAAATTTAACTCTAAAATTTTACTAAAATTTGAAGAACAAAAAGCCTACTTGCATAGGTTGTTTGTCACAAGTGTGACGACAAAGTTGCATCAGGATTTTCGGCAAGAATGATGGAACGCTGTATGGAAATGCCTGAACAATAGCAGAAAGAGCTAAGACACCGGCATGTCGTTTTGTACCATTCTCCTCTCGAGACCATTCGTAAAATGTCTCCTAAAATTTAATTTTGTTTAAATCATCAATATACGTCGGTACATTTGCTAATGTGACATACATATCGCTATTACCTGCGCAACAAATTCAATCAGTGTTTTTAACTTATTTGCAATTTTCATTAATGGTTCATAACGATAACATGAACACGTATAAACATAAAACTTACAACAATTAGGTGGTCTACGTCCAAGAAGTGACAGTGGATAAGACCTGATAGCGTTGTAGCAGCAGCTTCACGCACTTCAAATTTTGGATCAAGTATCATGGAGCAGAGAATAGATTGTAAAAATGGGCGATGATGAAGGAAAAGGAAGAAATTGGAGAATACAGCAACTTGCATGTATTTTAGCAGCGAAACTTTCGGTTTCCACCAAGAAGCAGCAGATGAAGCTAACTGTAATTGCAAAAATCAAATTGAAACAGCGATCAATCAAAACATATATATAAGTTATTTAAATTATCAAAAGATTACCATCACTCCTACCGCTATAAAGAACGGTACCACACTATCAGAGGATAAATCTTATGCATAATATCGGATAATTACTTGATTTATTTTCTGTGATTAAGCTACTATAATGTTATTTATTATCAGTTAATTAACAATATGTTAGTTTTTCTTTCAATTTATTCAATATTTTTGCAAATTTCGTTTAAATTTGATATAATCAAATTCATTAATTATTATTAATTGCAATAAAATTGGTTGTTTGAATTAAACAAAAAAGCAAAATTGAATTGTGTAAAGATTTAAACAGAATTTGGTTTTATTAGATTATTAGTTGTAACCAATTGAATTTCAATAAAAGAATTTTTATTTTTTTATTTTCAGAATACAAATTTTTTCTCAAAAAAGGGATAGTATAATTGAATCATACCTAATTTGTTGAGGTGACAACATTTTACGATAAATAATACCGATGGTAAAATAAAGCAATAACCAAATGACAAGTTCAAAGGTCACCGACTTCCAAACACTTCCACGCCATCGAAATAATAATTTGAACAGGGTCCACGGTCGCGATGTTGATACAGCCAAGTTATATTTTACGGTCATCTTTGAAATAAAATTAAATAATCTGGAAAATAAATTTCGAACATTCAAATTTCACATATTAGAGATTTTCGGAATGAAATGATCTAAACAATGTAATTTAATTGGAATAATTTCAAATAATTCTAATTTGAAATAATAAAAAAATGTTATTTGTAAAAATGTAATAATAATAATAATAGTACTAATAATATGGATGAAATTTTGATCTTTGGAACTAATCGTTGAATTAAACGAACAAAGGAAAAATGAATTCTTTGAAAATAATATTTGTTATTGAGCAGAAGAAAAAAAAACCTTTTTTTGTTAACTACAATAAAGAAAAGAATTATAAATGTCAATAATACTTTAACATTCATAAACAAATATATAATTGTAAATACAAATGTAAATAAACAAATATATATATATTTGTAAATACACAGACACAGACAAAAACATATACACAAATACAAATATATATAAAAAGAGTTAAAAGGTTAAATTAAGCAAAAGGAAAAAAGTGCAGTCGAAAAACTGGTGATTTAAGAGTGGCGTTGACATGACAATTGGTGACAATGACAAGGTAAACATTTTAATTACACAGGAAGGTGACAGTAACAAAACGAATGTGAGAATAATATTTACTAGAATGAGTGAATTCAATTGGTGTAATGCATAGGATGGAAAAGAACTTGCAAAAGGTTAAAGGTTGAAAACTAAAAATTAAAAAACCTAAGCAAATAAAATGAACCATTTATTGTTTTTATTCAAAATAAGAAAAAAATAAACCAAAAAACTAGCAGTTTTTAAATTATTGTTTATCATAATTAAAGTGTTTATAATAATTTGTAAATGTCAAATTTTCTATTAAAAAAATTCATTTCTCTTTTTAAAGTAATTTACTTTAAAACAATTTTAACAATGAAATTTCAAGTTTCTTTGTAAGAAAAAATAATTAGTAAATGAAATTAATAAATCCATTACTACTGATCCAAATTTTCATTTTTTTGATCTTTTATAACTAAATGCATTTTTTACCAATCAGTAATTGTTGTTTTATCAAGTAACTAGAGAATAAAAAAACTTTTCTTTAAAGAAACTTGAAATCATAAACAGTAAAACTAATCTTCGATCTTTTCAATGTAATCATTATTTCATTTTTCTGTTTATGTAATAATAATTCGTAAGATTCTACAAAAATTCGATTTATTGTAATTCAGTAATGTAATAATAAATAATGCAACAATTGACAAAACAATAATACACAATTTGCAATGTAATAATAAGTCATTTGGCTGAGATTTTATAAAAAATCTGTCAAATTCAATAAATTAATTACTTGAAGTTATGCCTAAAAATAAAATATTTACTTTGCATGCAAAATTTGCAATTACATTTCAAAAAAAAAAAAAATCAAACTTCAAATTTTATATTAAATGATTTGTTGAAATGTTATATCCAAGATTTATTCTCTAAATTAACTTCTGGACATGAATTCTGCCTACGAATTGCTGTTTGAACAAAAGCGCAATTTGCATCATTCGATGGAACACTTCGTTGTCGAGTTACAATCAGTGATAATCCATCGACAGCACTAATCCGTACGTCACTATTCGGTGACCTTACGTAATTCACGTAAGTGTAGCCAGTGACAGGAGCAGTATTATCTGCTTTGGTATTTTTCCTACTTATAGCATCTTCTGTTTCCTCTTCCAAATCTTCCAGTCTGTACAGCGTTGACGTTTGTGACAGTGCAGCATGGCCAGTATGTCGTCCATCACTCATCGATGTTTGCTTTAATGTAAGAGGCAAGTCTTCATCTATAAATTTAAATTTATAAATTTAGAAGGTCGAAATTTGATTAAAATATGAAAATTTTCCATTCAGAAATAATTTTCACACACTTTTTGCTGATATTAATGATGATATTAAAATTTAAAAGTTAAGACTGAATATTTAAATAACCTTTGCAATAACCTTCCTCATCTTGCTTTGCTTACCTGATAAGTTAACATTTGGATTATCATATGATTCTTTGATAATAGTCTCCAAAACACGATTTAAACTGCTTCGACGGCTTTCACTGTTACTTATCCATTTTGAGTAACCTTTTTCCACGACTGACAATTCGTCCACAGTTTGATTCGTTTTGTTGCTGTTATCATCGGCATTTTGGCTCGTATTGAAATGTGAATGACTTAATGACCTAAGAATATGACCTTTGACATAACTTTGCAATAATTCCTAATGATAATATTAAACTGATAACATTTCTCGTTCATTCATTGATTATTGTAAACATAGAGAAATAATTGAATGAAAGATAAAATTTTGCGTACAAAAAAGACAAAGATTGATTTAAATTAAAGAAATAAATTTCTATATGTAATAATTACCTTACCTACCAAATTTTTGACGAACAATGTTCATAATACCGCCATGATGATCAGCTCTAAAATTTAAATACTTTGAAATTAAAGCACTCTGTATTTTATCATTAGAGTTACTGTGATATCACTTATTTCGCATAGATATCATTTAATGTCACAGCTAGCACTTTCAGAAAGCTTTGAAAGTGGATTTTTTCTCTTTTTTTTAAGATAAAATGATTAAATTGAATTGAAACAAATTAATCAAAGAATTAATCAATTGAACGAAATTTTTTTTCACAAAATTTAACTATTTTGCAACTTTATAATAATTGCTTAACAGAAATCTCACTGTTTTATGCCGCATTTAATCAATACATTTATCACTTTTTATCATTACATTAATCACGTCAATTAACCACGTCACATCACTTTTCATCATAAGTAAATATTACTTTTTACTTACCTTCCAGATCGCAGACTATGCCGCATTGAACTTCGTAAAAGTTCCGAAATTGAATGATGATTGTCTAATTCTCGTGATAAAGGTAACATTTTAATTTTCCTATTTTGATCAGTTAACCTAAAGAGAATTGCAATGATCATAGAACAGAAGAAAGAAATCAATGAAAATGAAAACTTTTTTTACTTCTTTGAAATTTTAAATTTGTTTAGAAGGAATCATAGTAAATATATTCAACAAAAACAAAATTCATACTGAACATTTGCGGTTGAACCAGTCAAACCGGAAAGTCGATATTCTCCACGAGCCGATTCCGCTGAATACAAAGGCTCAATTTCGGTTTCGCTCCAGAAAACATCTTTAAGTAATGCCGGTATTTTGTTGCATCCGTCATCGACGATTGTTAAACCTACCTAAAATGAAAAAGTAAAAACAAGCGTTGATGCATGTCATAGCATCGTTTTTGATTATTTAAATTCTCATTTTAATTATTTAATTTGCATATTTATTAGTTTGTTCAATTTTATACATTTCCATGTGTCCACTTTCAATCAGATTTTCATTAAGGAAATGATTGAATAAATTACGCTAAGATTTTTTGTCGAGCAGAAAATTGCATTCGAAATCGTCGTCGTCTTCACCAAACGGATTTAGCATTGCTTCTGCTACCTTTAGCCATCCCATGTAGAAGACAAACTGAATGATAGTCATAACCGGAAGGTATATATCCAACTGCAAACGGAATATTTTAACAGTTCAGCAAAAGGTAAACAAATAAACAAAGTGCAATTTTTGATGCTTTGCCGCTAAAATGATGTAAACTCAGAATTGGTTGTAGGATTTTGTGAAAGGATTTCATGACTGTCACTTATAGGTCTGTCTCGAAAAGCTGTTGCTTGGCTTTGGTAGGCCTTTACCGACAAATTTACTGTAATTAGATAATCAGGCAGTTATGATGCCAAAAATAAAAATAGTTATAAGAAGATAAATCTCTTAAAAATAAAATTATCTCTCAGAATAAAAATTTTTCGAAATTTTGATTGGTAAGATTAAAATTTAAGAAATTAACGTTTTTTAGGATCAATAAAAAAAATTTTAAAACAAAGTATAAATAAAAAATATTAACCGTTGATTTATTCTTTGCATTTTCACTAATAATATATTGCCTGGCAATAGCACCAACAAGAAAATATGTATGAACAGCTAAGACAATTAGTTGTGGGTACATAATTGGTAAAGGTACCCAATCAAAGTTACACAAAATGGCCAAATTCGTACGAAACTTTTTAATTTCCTGAAATTCAAATTAATAAAAATTGAAGTTTTGCTAATTTATGATTGACAGAGGCGAAGAATTATTTAAGATTTGTGAATGTCTCTTCATTTTAATTTATTTAAAAAATTTTCAGGCCAGAAGAGAAGTGTTTGTATATGAGACACTGGGAGTCTCTAAATGTCCTTTGTTAAAATTCAAGTCGAAGTGACATTTCATAGTACAAATGACAAAATTTATACAAATTTTAATTAAAATAAAGGAAAGAAGAATCTTTCTATCATCCAAATTTAATATTTAATTCAATTTAAATGACAATGATAATTTCAGGAAAGCTATGATTATGCATATTTGCTGAAAATATTAGATTAGCAGAAATTTCTTTAAGAAAATAAAAATTTCTAACTGTGTTTGGCTTAAAAATTACATATTAATTGTATAAATTGACGTTTTGATGATTAATTCTTGAATAATTTAAAAATAAAATTGATTGATTAAAACTGATTCAATTCAAAGGAACCACTTACTTCACCAACTTTTTCAAGCAAAATATCACTGGAAATTTTTTGTTGATTTCGTGCTTCTTGACAAAGTGACAATGCCCACTGGAATGGCATCCAATATTTAGCATAGCGATATTGGATCGCATCGTACTTTTCCTTCTCGTGTTTCATCATAAAACCTATTATAAAAACTCAATTTATTAAAATTTCGTTAAATTTAATTTTACCAATTAATTAAAGTATTTTTGCTTAATTTTAATTTTACAATTGTGAACACTTAACACATATTTTATGACTGTGTTAAATTTTGATCACTGAACTGAATTGAATTAGAAATTGTACCGGCGGCAACCAATGCTTCGATAGTCGGAAATCGTTTCCGGACTCGCATACTGATATCGCGGAAGACAAGTGCTTGTGATAAGACACAATACCGAATGATATTTCGGCGCAGCATTCGTGCCCAATCATCCGAACCTTTTACATATGCTGCTACCATTAAAGCTATACTATAAATTAGCATACTTAATAAGTTTACTGCCTTAGAGACACTTTTTTGCACGATGACACTTCTATTTTCCGGAATTCCGTTCAGTATAGTATACGGAATTCATAGCGTTTTACAAGAAAAATGGCTTTTAACGAAATAAATAACTTTGTTTTTCCAAAACTTTACTAAGTGTAATGCTCGGTAAGCCCAATGATTGGTACAAATTTCTCGAAATACTTTTAATGATTGCAATTTTAGTTAGTACCAATACTAATCAAAGATCCATTACAAAAAAGAAACAAAAATTCATTAACAAAATACAATATTTTACAGTTTAATAATAATTTTAAATATCTTTTCACTTTATGAATTAAATTAGCGAATAATAAAATTTTTGCATCATTTTACAACTGAAAAACGAAATGAATAATTCAATTACTAAACTGAAACATATTTTACGATATAAAGAAATTTCTGAATCAAAAAAAAAAAAAGAAAAAATTAGCTAAAAGAAATAAATTCCTGAAACGAACTTATCAATATAGCCAATATTCACGAAAAAATTAATCCATCTTGAAACAACGATTGTAACAAAAAATCCAAGCATAAAATTCAATGGAATGTAATCCAATTTCTCATCGCAGTAATGTACGAACTGCTCGAATGTACTAAAATGATAAATTAGCATTAATATAAACTTAAGTAATAAATGAATTTCTGAAATCAAATATACTAACTTATGCAAAATTGAGTTTTTGTTCAAATTGTCAGAATATTATTTAAAAGTTTTACATTGACCAAATTTTCTTTCTTTTTTTTTGATCATTGATGGCATAAATTATAATATTTAGCAGTTATTCCATTTAATTTCAGTAACATTTAAGTTATTAATAGTTTTGAAATAGTTTTCAAAATAATTTCAACCGAAAATGATTTTAATTTACAAACTTGAAATTATGCTATATATATCTTCCTTTTTTTCGGCTGATGTAAGGGTCCTATAAAATACCTTTATCACTATTATCACCAATTTAACAGCTGACATTTTTTTTTTACATTTTATTAATTTGCTTAAATTGAATTTTCTTGGAAAGGTAAAATACCATTACCATTTATAATGTGACAACATATCACTGTAATTTAAGTTAGTAGAAACTTATAAGTAAATATAACAGTCAAAAAGGAATTTCAGATTTTTGTGTGCATTTTTCTGAAAATACTATTTTAAATAACTGAAATTAAAATTTGAAATTCTTTTGCGATTATTTCTATTTGCAGAATTGTATGTAATGTACCTAACTTGTTCATTGCTTAAAGCAACGCGGTATATCAATGATATTACGGCAAATAACAACAACCAAACAAATAATTCGAGAGTCACTGATTTCCAAATACTTCCGCGCCACCGGAATAAAAGTTTGAATAAGGTCCAAGGCCGAGAAGTTGACACATCCAAGTTGTACTGAACAGTCATCCCTGTAAATTACACGGTATGAGGGCTCTCACTGAGATTCCCGACAATTTTACCGCATTTCGATTTACCGATCGCTTTCAGTTCGTTGTTGAAAACTTCCATCATTAATCATAGCTTCTTTTCTCTCTCTCTCTCTCTCTTAAATGAGAAATTAAACAGTAATGGGAAGAGGGCAATCTGTGTATTTGTCCTCAATTTTCTAATTTCCCATTAATTTCTAAAGAGAGAATTTCAAATTTTCATTTTTCTGATTTTTATTGAAGATTATTTGTTCATTTTTTTTTTCCTTTTTTTATAACACTAAATTGCTTTATCTTTGTACTAAATGCTTGCAAATTTTACAGTTTTCCTTGCCGTTCATCGATCGATCAATCAATTCTTAATTTCTGATTTAATTTCAAAACGATAATATATCCTTGCATATTACTTTTCCGTCCATTGCATTTACCTATCGTTGTTTGAGATTATTAACTAATTTTCTATTTGTAATATCCAAGAATCAAACTAAATTAAGCGCTGAATTCAAATTTTAATTTAGCAAAACACAAAATTATAGAATTTGTTATTTTTCTTTTTTTCTCACTGAATCTTGTGATAATATTTGACAAAAAGGAAAAAAGTGGTTGAATGAGTTTTTGTGATAACATAAAAGCTCAATTTATAAAAGCAAATTTGTTGAGAAATACAAAGATTGAGCAAAAGAACATTTATGTGCTAAAATAAATAGTCTTTATAAATTGTATTGTGTGAGAGATTCCCTTGTTGTATTCAGATTTTCAAATAACCTTTCTCTCTCCTCTCTTCCACTCTTCTCTCCCTCTCTCTCTCTCTCTCTCTCTCCCTTTCTTCTTCCCGCTTTCATTCTCTCTTTGCTACCGAAAATAGGAAAGAATAAACATTTCCATTCCTGGAATCACTAAAAAAAGTAATAACAACCATATTTTTTTATTATTCTCGAAAAAGTGTTTACTTCCATCTCTACAAATTTCTTTTTTTTTCACATTTTCAAAAGTTATTAATTCAAAATTTCAATATGAAACGAAATTGCTAATTACAGTAAAAAAAATTCGCATTAAAAAATTATGCGAACGCGAACAACGAAAAAACAAATGAAAAAAAAGGAAGCGAAGGTCAACCAATTAAAATATATTTCGGGCAAATTAAAGGAAACTCTAAATGAAACATGGATAAGAAATTAAGAAATGTTTTTTAAAATTAAAATCTATTAAAATTTGCAAAATTAGTAAATGTTTAAAATTTTAGTAAAACTTTTCAAGATAGTGACACCGTTACGAAACTATCATTACAGCTTCCCGTAGTATTTTTTCATTTGACAAAGGAAGTGAGGTGACAAGGTTAGTTTGTTAAATTGATTGGACACCAATTGAACAAATTCTAGTTCTAATCGAAAAACATAAAAGTAAAAAAGTGAAAAACTGAAGAGAAGCAGGAAAAAATGAAAAGTATATAGAAAGGTTAGCTGAAGAAAGCTCAAAACTCATAGTAATATGATTTACTTACTTCGCTACCTTTCTACCTTTCTCAACAAATTTAAATGTTTTTTAGCTTTCTCAAAACTTTTATGATATCTAATTTTTATTTTCATTTAATATAATTTCAACTTCTGCAACAATGTTTATTTATTTTTTCGGTTCAAAAATGCTTTTTTGATTTTTGACATTTTTACAAAATACACAGATTTGTGATTTTTCTGTGTAAATTTGATAAGAAATATACTAATCATTTTTCTATATATTAATTAACAATAAAGCATTGAAAAAGAAAAGAAAAACGTATTCGATATTTCTGATCAAAGAAAGCAAAATTATTGATTTCTTGGTCACTCTAACTGATAATACCAATAAATTAATTTGGGAATGAAAAAAGAGAGACAAAGATGGAAGACTGTTCAGATAGTAGAAAAATTCCAAATATGACACTCAAATAATTTACATTCAAGAAAAACGTTTTTCCGGATAGTTTGGTAATGCTTGTTTGTTAGCATTTGCCCATGGGAATAAATAATGGGTAAGGTATCACAACGGTATGCATAACAAAAGTACAGTGAACTACAAACTCAGCGACAATACTGAATCATACGTCGCTATCACTAATTTTAATGAATTACTCAAGAAATTGCAAAAAAAAATGGGTAAATTTATAAAAATGTTCATTGGTGTGTTTTTATATCAAAAGGCGAAAATATAAACAAGTCGAAATGATAGTGAATTTCGCTTTATTTTTACAATAAATTATGTGAATGTGAGCAAAGGAAAAAAAGAAAAAAGAAAGAGTAACTTTTTTCAAAGGTCAACCAATTAGCTTTTCGAGAAAATAAAAAAATCATAAACGAATTTTTGAAAGAAACTTTTTTTCTACATTTGAGTTGCCGAAGGTTAAAGATTTATTTAAACTATTTAAATTTTTATAAAAAAAAAAGGAAAAAAAGAAATTTCTACAGAAAAATCAAAGAAATGGATGAATGTGTTTCATTTTTATTGCAAAGTACGATTTTCAAAAAGTACATAAAATTTCTTTAAAAAAAGTAAAAAAAAAAACGAAAGACGAAAACATCAGTATATTCATTTTAAAAAAATCTCAATGCCAAAATAAATGAAATGAATAAGAACTGCAAAATCGCACATAATATCAACAAAGTGACATTTGGAAATTAAAAAAAAAAAAGGATAACAAAAAATTTCGCAAACTCATACAAAATTAAAAAAAATGAAACAAACATGAAAGGTGTCATTTACCTGAGAAATAATTGTTAAAGAAAGAAATGAAAACAATTTAATCTAATTTACCTGTCCTTGTCTCTTCTGCCACAATTTATTCTTTCTTTCTTACTGCTTGTTCTGACACCTTCAAGTTATCATGCAAATAACAACGCTGCAACATCCCAATATTAATGCACGTGAAAATGACAGGTAGACCCATTTAGTTTTTTACTCATAATAATTCTTAACATATATTTGCACAGAATGATCAAAAATCATAAATAAAATATGAGAGAGAGAGAGAGAGAGGGAGAGGGAGAGGGAGAGAGTTGCAAAAGGTTATTATTACGGATTTACGGTTCCTACAATTTGAGTCAAATGTCAAATTAATAATATAAATGCTACCCAAAAGTTTTGATGACACTTTATTTATGAAAGATGATAGTATTAACGATTATTTGGAATAAAAATTTCAATTTTATCACTGTACGATGCACATTTAATGAGTCATTTGTGACTGATAATTAATACTGTAACAATGAATTTATTAGTAAACAGTGCGGCAAAATGAAGTTATCGAGTAATGTGAGATAATGATCAATTAGGTAAGTTGTATGGTAGTTGCTAATTCCATGGTAATGGATTATTTGGGTACCAGTTCTGATCCATCCATAACATTGGCTCATTTTGATAGCGATCCAGTTCCATTCACCTATAACATCACCTTTATTTTGGAATATTTGAATCACAAATTAAGTTGAATTAAAGTTTTCTGTGGAAAATGTAGCTATAATTGTGGGATAAAGTTTAAACTGAACATAAGTACATAACAGAAGTATACACTCCTGATCTGATCTGATGTTTCAAGATTGTTGCATATCTCATGAAATCTTCAAAATCTTTGGTCAATTATGGGAGATATATGTTTTTTTTTAGGATCAAATATATGAAATACTACTATCCGTTCTAGCTCAGAAAGGATAAGAATTAACTCAACGATTAATTACATTCATAGGTCTTTCACATTTTTTTTTTTATATTACCTATTCCTACATGTATCATAATTTATAAACATTGATAGCTTCTCATAACAGAAATACATTTAGTAATAAGTATAGCATGTATTTCTTTATTCATTTGTTCGCAGATCCGATTACTGACCAGAATTAAATTTTGCTAAAATTTAAATGAAATTTTGCTACAAATTAAACTTGACATTCAAAGGACATTATAGTACCGAAAAAAAGACACATTCGGATTACTTACAATCCGGAAAAGTTCCGATATCGCTCAATCTAATAGCTAGTTTCTGCGTGCTCGACTTATTTATATCACTATTTTGCCCAGCAATTTGTAATTCGATTGTATTATTTAGCGCATTCTTTTGAAGTTACAATTTGGCGCACAATGCGACACATCAAATAGTCATCTTTCATTCCCATAACTTCCGCATCCGATGACATCAAACGTTGTCACCAACAGGTGAGGCAGAGTAACGCTGAAGAATGGCACTATCGATTGGTGCGTATCTCACTGATTATTTTGGAACATAGCAAGAAATACTAAAGTGAATGCATCAAACAAAATTCATATCAATAAAATCACCATCATTGTGGCCTAACGATGTTTGGTTGCCAGAAGTGGGATGAAGTATTTCACGTGTTGTTGTGTTGGAAAAGGAGTGGAGGCGTTCGTCGGTGGTTGTGATGTTGTGTTACACACATGCATGTATGTGTATGTGTGCATGTATGTATGTTTGTGTATGTGTGATGTTATTTGTATGGGAGAGTCGAGGTCGAAAAATTGGCTCGGCTGTTGTCAATTAGAATTGTTCACATATACATTTTTCTTGATTTCATTTGATTTCAGGCACAGATCAATGATTCATTTATTGCTAAATATGGATTTGAACAAATAACATCGATGGTTGACGGTAAAGGCGACGAAGGAATTGTACAAAGTGTCGCTGATATCAATGGTTAATGCTTTTTCTCTTTCTTTAGGAGTAAACGAAAATTATTAGTGATGGAATTTTATTTGAGAGAATTAAGCGGAATAACCTGATTGTTGGTATTATAGGTAATTTGGAGTGAATGCAATTTATCAGTTGTCACATGACTGAATTGAATGATTTTGCTGAAAAGAAGAGGAAAATATGATTTACATAGCCTTGTTGTAATCGTTTTATGATTAGGGATGAGCATAGCACCTTTTCCAAATTTATTCGTTGGAATATTCGGAAGTTATGCTTCTTTTCAACAAATATTTATGGCTAATCTT